TCTGTCTCATTTTTCTGGTGTGATGGCGAAATAGTACAGCCACCATGGAAAACATTCTGGCAGTTTCTCTTTCTTTTTAGATTTCTTTATTTATTTGAAATGCAGAATTACAGAGAGAGAGAGAGTTTTCAATCTGCTGGTTCAGCCACCAAATGGTTGCAACAGGCAGGGTTGGGCTTTGCCAAAGTCAAGAGGCAGGAGTTTCATCTGGGTCTCCCATGTGGGTAGCAGGGGCCCAAGCACTTAGGCCATCTTTGCTGTTTTCCCAGGCCATTGGCCGATAGCTGGAGTGGAAAGCAGTAAAGAAGCTAGGATACAAACAGGCTCCTATATAGGATGCCAGTGTCACAGGAAGTTATTTAACCCACTATACCACATACCAGCCTCCTGGAAGTTTCTTTAAAACCCATAAAAGTACTAGGCACTTTTTCCTTTGCTTTTTCTAGAAAAAGGAAACATAGCTACCCCAAAATTTGTTCATACATATTATAGACAATTTGTCAAAACTCACATTTATTGGATAAAATAATAACTGTGGTATGCTCATGCCATAAAATTCTTCTCAGTAATTTCAAGGGACAACTATCAACTCATGAAACATTGTAGATGGATCTTAAGGGGATTATGCTGAGTGGGAAAACCTAATCTCAAAATGTTTACATATTGTAGGATTCTATTTAAATTACATTCTTGAAAGAACAAAATTATAGAAATGAAGAACACAATATTGTTTGCAAACAGTTAGGGATGGCATAGTGGAGTGAGAGAGTACAACCTGAAAGGGCTAGCACAAAGAATCAATGCATTCAAGGTACAGTTCTGTGTCTTGAATGTGCAGGTGATTTTACTTTATTTTATACATGTTAAAACAGCATAAAACAGTACTCAAACAGTATTTTTCACTTTATGTTTCTGTGTGGGAGCAAACTGTTGAAATCTTTACTTAATGTATGCTAAACTGATCTTCTGTATATAAAGAGAATCGAAAATGAATCTTGATGTGAATGCAAGGGGAGAGGGAGTGCATAAGGGGAGGGTTGCGGGTTGGAGGGACGTTATGGGGGGGAAGCCATTGTAATCCATATTCTGTACTTTGGAAATTTATATTCATTAAATAAAAGTTAAAAAAAATTAAAAAAAAACAGCATAAAACCACACATACACACACACACACACATAAATGAATTCATATAAAACTTAACATCTAAAAAGGCCTTAAAATGTCAATTTGTTAGGATATGAGACTACCAAAGACATTAACATTGTGGAAATTAGGTGAAATTTACCTAAGACTTCTGTGTGGTATTTTCTGTAACTTCTTGTGAATTTATAATTAATTCAAAATAAAAATATTTAAAAATTATCCTGGTGGGGCTGGCACTGTGGTGCAGCGGGTTAACGCCCTGGCCTGAAGTGCCAGCATCCCATATGGGCGCCGGTTCTAGTCCCGGCTGCTCCACTTCCAATCCAGCTCTCTGCTGTGGCCTGGGAAAGTAACAGAAGATGGCCGAAATCCTTGGGCCCCTGCACCCTCATGGAAGACCCAGAGGAAGCTCCTGGCTCCTGGCTCCGGATCAGCACAGCTCTGTCCATTGCGGCCAATTGGGGAGTGAACCAGCGATGGAAGACCTCTCTGCCTCTCCTCTCTCTGTATAACTCTGACTTTCAAATAAATAAATAAATAAATCTTTAAAAAAAATTATCCTGGCAAAGATAACTACATTAAGCCTGTCACTTTTGTCACAAATAGCACCTGAAAATCCTTTCTGTTATGCATGGCTATTTATCTGTACTTGTGCCTCCATCACAGTATCTTAATGTAGCTTTCTAATAAATTTTGGTATCTTGTAGAGCAAGTCTTCTAATTCATTTTACTTCTAAAAATCCTTTGCATTTCCATTTTAATGTTATAATCAATAGGTTTCATAGTTCTTTTTTAAGATTTTTATTTTTATTTATTTGAGAGGTAGAGTTACAGACAGTGAGAGGGAGACAGAGAAAAAGGTCCTCTATCTGCTGGTTCACTCTCCAATGGCTGGAGCTGTGCGGATCCGAAGCCAGGAGCCAGGAGCTTCTTCTTGGTCTCCCAAGAATGTGGGTACAGGGGCCCAAGGATTTGGACTATCTTCCACTGCTTTCCCAGGCCATAGCAGAGAGCTGGATCGGAAGAGGAGCAGCCAAGATTAGAACCAGTGAAGGATTAACCTACTGTGCCAAAGCGCCCCAGTTTCATAGTTTTTAAAGCAGAGATTTTGAGTATCATTTATTGGATTTACTTGTAAATACCTGATATCATTTTTTAAAAAGATTTATTTATTCACTTGAAAGAGTCAC